TAGCTAGCGTATAGTATAGGTACTTGGATGAGGAAACTACCAAACGAGTATTAAGGCCCCCCTATGGCTCGTTGTCTTGCAGCCGACGCGAGACTCCCTCAGCACATGGGGAGGTACGTAGCTAACGAGCGCCCAGGTACACCTATGTGTACTTTAGCTTGCTGCAATCGTGCATACGGCATTTGATTATGACATTGCGCATAGATATGAGTTTGTGAATATTCAAGGAACACTTTTATACCATTATCAGGAAAAAATATATATCACTGTGATTTATGATGAAATATTTTGTGAAATATATCTAATAAAAATGTCAGTTTTGTGTCCTTTTACACGCTAAATATGCTTCTATCGAGACTCCCTGGTAATATGTTTTTGTTTACGAAGTAATCTGTATGTATATCACATACAAAGTACTAATGCTTAAAAATGGCCTTATAAGTAAAGATTGAAATATTTCCGTTACATTTCGCTCAAAGGTCGGTACATCACAGCATGGGGAAATTTTAATTGATTTGAAATTGGTAGTTACCGTTGTAAAGACCAATTTGATACGAATGTTACCTAATTGTTGGATTTTGAACTTTGGATGTATAAGCGAGATACAGATTATTTCATATTGAAGATGATAGTACTTAGTAATACCTGCTCTGAAATAAAAACTATATGGAATTTTGAGCTCATTTGTGTGTGCACTCTTCATCTAGAGTTCAAAAAGCTATCGCATTTGTTTTGTGCGTTCACGATAAAAATTAATATGTTTAGACGTTACCGTAGGTCTTAGGTACGATAAATTCGCAAATATCCACAACACCTAGGCATCTGCATGATTTTATGCACTTCTTAGTAAAGATAATGGGTGCAAATGGCTAATCACAAACTGTAAACTTGTTCTCCTTTGCAATCTGTTAATATTGACATTTATCGAAGGAAACGGTATGAGAGGGATAATATATTTTATCAATTAGATATGAAAGACAGTGTAGGCCTACTAAATGAGGATGATTAATCTTTTTAACTTTATGTGCGTGTGTTCATGTACATATGATCCTCCTCGAAAATTATAAACACCCAGTGACCATCTCCCCTTCCCCCCTCCCTGTATGAAGCATGGGAAAAATTCATCGACTTCCGTAAGTTCTCGAATTCAATGTACTAAATTCATATGCTTTTAAAATTCTCAAAATTGTACCACCATGTTGTATTCATGCAAGGACTTTATAATTAGAATGATTTTGTACTAATGTTGCCATCCACAGTTCTCCATTTCTTCAAAATTAAAAAATAAATAAATAAATGAAAGGAAAAATAAAAGAAATTAAAGAATTAAAAAAAAAAGTTTTTATCTGGTTTAGATTAGTTGTCTCTATGATAAAATGCATTTATTAAACTTTTCAGACGAAAATATCTACTTTTTTGAACAACGAACAAAAAAAAATTACATACCTTTACAGAATAGCGTCCCTATTGAAAATGAAAATTCCTATTGACTTGGTAATCATTGCATTGCAAAGTACACTAAATAAGCATTTATTTTACATATAATATCATTAGATTCAGAGCAAAATAACAGAGATAACGATCTTTGGCAATGTGCCAAATATAATATGCCATATCTCCGTTCTTTGTTTACATAACCTTCGGTACATCCTAACTCTCGTAATTTTTGTGCGATTCAAATGCAGTTTGTTGCTTTCACAAGAGCCTCGCAGTCCTAAGGCCGTGTAATTGGCCGATTTTTAAATTTTTGCCTTAATAAAAAAATATAGATTTTTTAATGCTGAAAAAAGCAAACCAAAAATAGTACTCTATGTCAAGCAGTCCCCCGCATAAAAAAAAAAAATAAATAAAAAATAAAAAATCGGCTAATTACATGGCCTTAGGCTAGGGTTGATCTAACACAAGTATTTTTTTGGAGACTATTCAGTAAAGAACTGTGGTAGAGATTTTGATGATTAGTAATGAATAGAATAGATTAGGAACTCTTTAACCGTAGGAAAATACTTTAAATGGAAACATGGGAATGGTAAATGAAAAAGAACATTTTTAAACCCATTGCTTGTAGATGATATGCATGTACATTCTATGGCATAATTTGACTCTCTTCAGGATGGCATGCAAGCCATGCCACTTACATCTAGTATGCTATAAGTAGGGTGTGCTTATACAGTAAACTGCTTTTTTGCCTCTCAAATGTAAGCATAAAGTTACTCTTCAGCCTTGTTTCCTGGAATGTGCTGTAACCAAAATTGTAGAGAGTGGAAAGATTGTTTCCTGTGCATTTAACCACTCTGTGGGTGGCTGACTGCATACAATCCGTTATGGCATGTGAAACACCCATCATCATTTTTTTTTTTTTTTTTTTTTTTTAATTCTATGGGAATTTTTTAATTCTATGGGAATTGTATTTACTTAGAACAGGCATTAATCTATATTGCCATTACCACATGACTGCATACTCTTTGCTGGTTACATGCTGTCCTTTTCTTCCTTTTAATTGTTATCTTTCCTTATAAAGATCATATGTTCATGATCACAAACTCGTTATGTTGAGTGTTCTTTTATTTATTATATTCTGAATTACAGTTTGGAACAAGTTGAAGGCTGTGGAACATAATCCCTTTTTGCCTAATAGAATTGCTAAATACAGACTTGTAACATGCATTGATACAAGGTTAAGATAAATGCTACTAGTTTTGGCCATTCAGCATTGGTAACTTTAAACATCTGGTTCAAAAATGGTAACAGGAAAATTGTCGTATGTGTTTAGAATTGACGTTTCAAAGAAATTTACAACTTTTCCATTTGCAGTTGTGATATCTATTGTCGAATGTTGACAAATATTAATGGTCAGACTTTTTCATTCTCTTTATTGTTGAAACAACATTTGTGACCTCATTTTAAGAGATATAGGAGAAATTAAGGCAACCAGAGCAGATAATATTTAATAAAAAACAGTGAATGGCTTATATAACATCCAAATTTCTGTTACCATTGTATTGTATGTGCACACAATTAGATTTACTTTTTTCACCTCTCTTCTTCAATTTGAAAAGCATTGTGATAAATTATAACAATCAGATTTACATATAGCTTTAAGTGTTAAAACCATTCCAGCTTGTTGTTGTTATATATGCATTATTTAATATGGTTTTACACTATTACATTTATCCAGTCCAGTTATTTGAATTACACATCATTTTACTTTCAGATTGATTTTGGTGATGTTGGCGGTACCATTGATTTCAGTACCGCAGATATCGAGTTAGCAGAAAACCTAACCACAGGAGATATTGACTGGGGAAATCTTAGCACTGAAGAACCTCAAACCATTGACTGGGGTGTAGATGTGGTATGTAATATTCCGAAAATTTAAATTGTGGGTATTTTAGGGCAGGTGTTGATTAGTATATATTTTGTTGAAGATAATTATCTAGCCCTGAATCTCAGGCCTATCAGTTATTGAAAATTGTAATCATTTTTTTCCAGAATGATGTTGCTACAGTGGATATTGTGGTTGAAGACTCTGGTGTGTCTGGAGGTGTAGCTAAAGGAACTGATGCTCTTACATTACTGTACAACCCCAAGACTCGTGCACAACTGATTGATGAGTTGTTTGAAGTAAGAAAGACTTTTGTGTGATTATTGTGACTAAATTTGATTATGCATGTATAGATACATTTGGTTGGTTTCATGAAAGTTTACTCAAAATTTTAAGCTTTTAGTGATTTGTCTCGATATTTATGTACTGTTTAGGTATGATATTCTAAACCTTTAATTCTGTGGCCCCTGATCAATACGTAAAAATCTCCACAGCCCTGTTCATTGTCTGTCATCTTTTCAGATTGTTATTATTTGTTATGAATAGTGTAATAGTATCAGTAACTACAGGACAAGAACACTTTATGGAATGATTCCAATTTGTTGATATGAGAGAGAGAGAATTATATGTAGGTACTATAGATGATATAAAATTCAGTTTAAGTCATCATAATTTTCATATTGTTCCATGGCCCCCAGGTTGGGAACCCATCCCAAACAATGTATATCCTCTCATAAGAGTGATTTCTAAGTTTGTAATAAAGGCACACTTATGGGAACAGTTTAGCTATATAGTGAAATGATTATTCACTCCCTTTACAGCTGGAAGGATTCTTGAAACAGCGTCTAATAGAACTGGAAAGTGATGAATCAAGCTTCTCTATCAACCAGTTCTCTACTGCTCCCATTTCTGTGCAAGACCAGTCCAAAGAACAGTTGGAGGTTATGATCAGCTACATCCGGAATGTGATTGACCCTCTTAGCACAAACAAGATGCAGCACCTCTTCCTCATTTACTCTTCTCCAAAGTATGAAAATTTCATCCCTTTTATATATGAAACATTTTATTTCAATTTATATGTGATACTATATTTGTCTATTGATTTTCTGACTGTGATCATTGCTTCCATTCCAGATATGTTGATAGGCTTGCTGCATCACTCAGGTCAAAACTCACAGTTGCTGATAAATTTGTAATTTCTCAAGAAGGAGTTCGCCAGCGTAGGCTGGAAGCTCAACAAGAGCAGCAGAAAGTCCACCCAAAGTTGGCAACAATGATTGAGAGATCAAAGGAGTTGAAAGTCAATATTGAAGAGCATATCTCCAAACGTTATAAAAACAGACCTGTCAATCTGATGGCCCTTAGCCTGTCTATGACATAAAGTTGGTTTGTCAGACTAATAGATTATTATATATACTTTTTGTCTTCAGTGGGATATATCTTTATTAGGATTTTTTTTTTATCATGGTTTAAATAAAGAATATAAGGTATAAATCATGATTGTTTACTTTACCTTGGGTGAAACCCACTGTTTTTAATTTAGGACACTAATAACCCAAGTGAAAATTATGTGTTATTTCTATCCATGAACAAGTTATTTCATCCTGACCTTTTGTCAATAATCTAACTTGTCTCAACCATCAGTGGGTTAACCCAAAAGGAAAAGGAAAAACTAAAAAAATATTCAACCTTTAATGAAAATGTATTAAATGATCATATCAAACAGAGGTTAAGTTTTATCCTGCTGATGCTGATGTTTGGCACATTAATTATTTACAGTCAAATGGCACAAGAAAAGTCGTGCCAGATTTATATATCAATATTTGCATTCGTCCATCTAAAATGTTTAATACAGTCCTATATACTGTACAGAAACAATCATATGAAAGACATTATTGCAACTGTATAAAAGCTAAAAGATATTAAAATAATTATGATGAAAAGCATCTCCATCTTATCTTCCATATAAATGACCTCAATTTGGCTTTGCAATAATACTGAGTGATGCTGATTATCTGACTGATAACAGAAGACTTTATGATAGTAATAAATCTATTTAATGGATTTTTACAGGTGAAAGGAAAAAAACAGTAAAAACACACTAAAGACATGCAAGAAGTCAAAGCACACAAAGACAGATTCATATTTGTATCAAGAAAAGTTGAGTAAGTTTGTATGTATATAAATGACTTCACTGTACACACCTCACACACATGCAAGCACATACTTCCTTCTATAGCAAGTTAAATTATTCACAATAAGGCATTTTCAAGTACCTGAGACCTAGAAAGGCTGTTTTTTCATTTTTCTTTCCCTTTGGTCCTTATTTGTAAAATTGCACTATTCGTATTTCTAAAAACAGGCATCAATCACAGGATCAGCTGTTTAAAACTTTCGTAAGACCACAGTCAATCTTTCTCACACCAAGAGTGGCAGAAGAGTATGTAGAAATGACACTTCAGTAATTGCATCTTTGGTTGGTACTCTTGCATATTTACATTCTCAAGGAGCGACCTTTCCCAAGAGAAGATAAAGAAGCCAGTTTCATCAAGCTCTTCATCTTGCTGCGGCTCTCCACCTTCTGTTCCTCACCAGGAAACCTTGCTGCATACACTTCGGGGTAGAGTGACTTGAACTACAAATGGAAAACACAGATATAAGGAAAATATCAAAGATCAACTGTAAAATGCACCTTAGGGGGTAAGGTGTATTTTACAATATTTTACATTTTACTCTCAATATGTAAGTCCAGAGGATAATGTGAGAATTCTTGAGAAGGGCATAAATGAGGTGTAAGTTCACAGACCAAGAATGATCTTTCATAACAGAACCTATTTGACTAACTCTTGACAGATTCTATCTTACAATTTTCTACTAATGTATCTTGCCTTCCAAAAGTATTTCTTTAACTTATGATGATCCAATCTATTCAATCAACCTATTTTGTACTTGGTATTTCTTCCACTGTAGCAACATAGAATTATTTATTTTCATTCACATGTAGACTTTTAGGGGGCTATAGATAGGGTTTTCCTTTCATATTAGTCTTAGTGTTGACATTGTCTTTCATCTATCAGCAAAAGTGAAATACACATGATAATACAGCTCCACAATATTTCCAATTTCTAATGTAAAAGTAACTTTATGCTGTACCAGTGGTTCCTAACCCTTTACCTTCTGTCTCCATGGCCACTTTCAGTGACTGTCATCTCAGATTCAGTTAATACTAGTCATAAATAGCGTAATGGTGTCAGTGTATATTGTATTCTCTGCCATTATTACACTTTTATAGAAACATTCTGAATGAATTTCTTCAGAATATCATTAGGAAATGATTTCAAACTCACCTCTTTGAGCTTCTTTTTCTTCTCCTTGCTTGATAATTTATCATTTTCAACAATCTGGTCAAGAAGCTGGGCCAGAAACAGCTGAGATCCAGTCATGCGTTGCCGCTCAAACTCCTTGTTGGTAATCTGGCGACAGTAAGTCAGGGTCACGCCTCTATCCCCCACTGTGGAGCCATAGACGATCTGCAACGGAACACAGGGAGGGGCCATGCTGCTGTCCGCCCGCTAAGCATATACAAACAAGTCAAGCTCTGCACCACCACCACCAAAGTAAAGAAAAAAAAAAAATATTGTAATAAAAAAAAAATAAATAATAATAATAATAATAAAAAAAGTATGAGACAAAGACACTACCCAGAACATAAATACTGGAAGATTAAGTACGTACTGCAAATGTATGCACAGAGATTACTGTGAATATTTTGGAGAATAACTGTTGTAGCTACTTATCTTACCTCTTTGTCAAGTCACTCTTAAGCATATATCTATTGAAAGATACTTGTCTAATAATAAACATTATAATTAAATATCATTACTACCATACTTTCATTCTTCTCAAAAGCATAAGCTGCTTACAACGGGCAAAGCATGCAACAAAAAGGAAATGTGAGAAGAACATCATCAAAGTACATAGCTATATCAGATATTCCAAGACAGTGGTTATAAAACGAGTAAGAACCAATGCCTCATAATAAAGTACTCCAAACCATGATGATTACAGTTCATACAATGCACCAGCTATGTAGTAGCATAGGATATCATTAGGGTATATTAGGGTAAAAAGGCTAAAAAATTATTTAGAACCACTGACTTGTAATATTAATCATCAACCAAACTTGCATCAGTACCATACACATCAAAACCACTGACTCAAGACTTGTGAACTATTACCCAAATTTATATTAGCAGCATACACACTATATATGTTTAAAGCATGTAAACAATAATATATGTATGTATATTTCAGTACTAAAAGAAACTCACTGGGAAAATGTTGATTTGAAATAATCTATGTTCAGTTTTGTATTTCCTGATACATACCTTTAAATAGTCTTTTATATTTGCACACAGCTCTAAACATTCTATATGCAGTTTACACAAATATGGCTACATATCTTAATATTGCCTTCTGAAAATAATATGTCATGTAATATTCTAGCAACATCATCACTACATATACTAAAAGCACATAAAAACAATCTGCCCAAACATGCAATACATGCTAAACACACTACATAGCAATTTATCACACAAAAATCAACTCAATATGCATAAAAATAAATAAATCAGTTGTCCAAACATGCAATGCCAGCAATACAAAATGAAAAGTCAAGTGAAACATCAATTAGTCAAATACTTCCCACAAAGTCAAACCAAAGCATGCAAACTCCATCACAGGCAAAGGCATTCAATGTTAAGACTACAGTGGACAGCTATATTCTATTTTAACCCTGTGTACCGTTCAGATCTGGTTTCTGGAGATGATCTCCAAGAGCTCTCTCCATTGCCTTTTACTCCCCCCTCCCCCCCATCCAAAGAAAGTTATGGAACAATCCCTTTCATAGAAACATCACTATTAAACCAGAAACCAGATAATTTTAGGCAATCAATATTAATAGTCATCTGGAAGTCACATGAAAAGAATAATTAGTGAAACACATACATGCCACTTATCAAAAAAATTATAAATTAATCAACTTTCATTTAAAAATCTCAAACTGTAGTTAATCATGCCTAAGACACAAAGCTATGTTTATGCAAATGTCTATAGTGAAAAGATGTAAAAATTCTGAAAAGAGTACTTTCTGACTACAAACACAAATATACCAGAAGAAAATTATCATCATAACAGTAGATATAAAAACTGAACATGAACATTAACCCCTAAACATGTAAGTACTAGTACATAGGTATACATCCACATAAAAGTAAACCACAAGAGTGGATTTGAATTTTCTATGCCTAACTTTCTCTTATAAAGACATATAAACAAATAAATAACAAAGAGTTGAGTGTTCACTCATCATCTCTGCATTTTATGCCACATGAAAGATTGATATGTATATTCTCTTACAAATGGAAATATCAACAATATAGATTAATATATAATTGCAATGCCCATATAGTGGGAACACTTCTAACAATAATTTCCCTTAAAAAAATCCTGTATAAATTATGAATGAAACATGACCTTCTGCACAAAAGTATATTAATACACTCAGTACACCCCTACAACAATAAGAAAAGAATTCATATCTACATCAAGAAGATATAACCCTATTCCCAAGAAAAAATGAAGATGTAGGGATATTTATCACTATGGAAGAAAAAGTTAGTTACTAAACATTTGAAGTCATGCAATAGCTAAGACTATTTGACATATATATATAATGTACATTGGTTTCTTTAACTGTCAGATTTATTTACATTTCTTGCTGTATTTTAACAGTTGTTTTATAATCTTTAAAATCCCTTAATTCTCTTATTCTAATAGAATATGCAAGCAATCCATTCTTACAAAATTCTTGATCTATACAAGGATACACAGTCTATCCACATATTTCATGCCTCTTTCTCCAGTCCTAAAGCAGACAGATTCCTCCATAATTTCAGTCCTTTACATAATCTTGACATTTTGTGTATGGTACCCTTCCATATTCTCCAAGTATTTCACTATCCAGTAACTTTTGAGACATTGTGTACATGCCCTTTTTTCAGAACATATCTGCATGAGCATTCCATACACGAGTTTTCATCCTCAGTTGGCAGAGCAGCCATAATTCTTTCCCATAGATTTAGGTGGGCTCATTTTGAATAATTAGACCTCTCCTTCTAAATAAAAGTATTTGAAGAAGTGAACAAAAATACATTAATTTATAGGACCTTTCAAAAGGATGCTAAAAATGTCTAGGCCAACATCACTTGAATGAAGCTTACTCATTGTTTGATAACTGACTAAAAAGAACATAATTTAGATATTGATAAACATATATATAATATATATATACAGTATATACATACATATATATATATATATATATATATATATATATATATATATATATATATATATATATATATATAATATATATATATATATATATTATATATAATATATAATATAATAATAATATATTATATATATATATATATATATATATATAGATATATATATATATATAGTACATATATATATAACAGCATATACATATATAACATATATAATAATACATATACATATATAATATATATATTAATATTTATATATATACATATACATATACATATATATATATTACATATACAATATATATATATACATTACTATACAATATATATACATACATATACATATACATATACATATACATACACTATCATTATACATATATACATATATTATACATACATATACATATATATGTACTTATATATATATACATATACATATATATGTTTATATATATACACCATATATATGTACTATATATTACATATACATATATACTTATATATATTATACATATATATATATATCTTATATATATACACATATATTATATGTACTTATATATAATATATAATATATATATATATATATATTATATTATATATATATATATATATAATATATATATATAATATATTATATATATATTATATATTAATATACACACACACATCCACACACAATACATACACACACGCACATACATATATTATTATAATATAGTATATATATATAGTATATAATATAATATATATTAATATATTATATATAACATATATACTACATATATATAATATATTATATATATATATATATATATATATATATATATATATATACATATATATATATAATATATATATATTATATATATATATAGTATATATGTATATATATATTAATATATATATTATATGAATGTATAATATTTAATATATATATACACACACACACACACACACGCACACACACACACACACCACACACACACACACACACACGCACGCACACACAACACACACACACACTATATACATATATATATATATATATATAATATATATATATATACACACACACCTTTATATACATATATTTCTATTACTGTTGTTATCATTACTATACTACTATAATCCTCATGCAATTTGGTCACTTAAACTACCACAATTACTAAAGTGAACTTATGAGGCTGTGCATTCCTAGCTCAGTAATTTCAGTCATTTTTGCCATCAATTTTTATTCCCAATGACTATCTGAAACAGTACTGAAGTTTGGAGAACAGTTTCTCTAGATAAAGATGTACAATACACAACTGTCTAAGTAGGTTTAGTATGCATTAAGCAAGGCTAGATAACATATGTCCCTCCAACTTCCCCTCCCCCTTGCTTCAAAAGCTTGCAGTTCTGCTTTGATAGTGTAAAAATACTGTAAATAATGCTCATAAATTAAACTTGCCAGTAGAATCAACTAACCACACACGTCTTTGCAGTCAATGTTTTGTCTTTTGCAACCTTTGAGTGCTTCTATATCTAACAAGGCATGTGAAAGCAATTTTTTCTATAATACTTATACTTTTATCTTACATTCCAAAATGTAAAAATCCTATTACAATTCTATCTATGTACCCAATTTCTTTACAACATACAAAGCAAGTCTCCCTTTAAACTGTGAATACCTTATTGAGCATTACTGGAGAAAAATGCAGTGTATATGAATCAATGAACAACATAGCTATGGTAGAAGGGCATGACTTGACTGCTACAGTCATTTCTTGATTTTCCTCACTGAACTACTTTTTCTGAACAGCAATATACATACACACATACAAAGAATATCACAAAGAAATGTCTAAAATAATCCCATGTATAAACCACTATTCTGTCATATCAAGCAAAAGGCTTATAAAATCGGACTAAAATAGATTTCTTTTTCTTTCCTCTCTCAGTATTACAAACTTGAATCTAAAAGTCTCATGAAAAAAAATTGAAGCAAAGCATGCATCCATGCATGCCCTTTCAAACACACACACACATAAATGTTCATTCAAACAAGCACAAGTGCATATACATACACAGACAAATACACAAACACATACATGCAATTCCTTTCACCCAGACTTACCTGACTGCGCTGAATCTCTGAAAGCCTCCTATGGACAAGGACAGCCAGGTCTTGTGGGGGACGAAGTACCTCCTCATGGTTGTCCATCAGGAAAGATATTATGCGCAGAGACAGTACCTCATCATAGTCAGCCTCTTGATCACAAAGTAGAATACTACGTGTGAATGTATTCAAGACCTGGAAGGTGAGAATATCACATACATTTTATAAGTAAAGTCTGTATATATAAATCACAACATTCTAGAAAAAAAATCACTAAAGGATATCATTGTCAAAGAAAGAAAGAAAGAAAGAATCTATCAATCTATCTATATATATAAACATTAACAATAATAATCATCATATTCAAGGAAACAAAGGAAACAGCCCTGAAGCAAATTAGAAGTTAGAAATGCAAATTTATCAGTGAACCAGATAAACACATCACAGGGAGAAACAGCCTGAATGTCATTAAAACTGAATTCAAGCTGTACAAAATAAAGAGAGAAGAGCAAGAAAGAAAGAAAAGAAAAAAAAAAGAAAAAGAAAAGAAAAAAAGGAAAAATAAGAATAAAAAATTACAAGAAGTAAATAAGCTACAATTTTCTTTTTTAAATACAGCACTCCAAGTAAAAAACACATGATGAGAATCACTCATCACAAATTCAACATTTTCTTCCCCCCACTTACAAGCGCTCTTGTGGTTTGCTCCTGATCTAAG